TGTATGTAAGAAGGTGTGTGAAATGGTGCTGGGTTTACACCATTTTGCGGTGAAAACAAAGCCAATAAATTCCAAAAAAATTTCAATCAGAGTCAAAAAATTTGTTGCTCTCACAGTCTTGCACTGGCACTCATTAGAGTTAAAAAAAATTGACTTTAATTGAAATTTTTTTGGAATTTCTCGGCTTTGTTTTCCCCACGGAATGGTGTGGACCCGGCATCATTTCTCCATCTTATTTGAGGAAACTTATGAATATTTTTCAAATTCTTAGGATCAGGAGAATTTGCAGGCGTCTGAAATTCGATGAATTCCGTATGTAAGTGGAAACCAGAGAGTGAACTAAAAACGGAGATACCCTTGGTTCATAAAGTCAATAATTTTTAGAGGAATTTGACACGATTACCTGATCTGCTGAAACAGTGGAACACATGTGTTTGAATGGGAAATACTGCCATATAACGTCACCAGGTGGTGAATTTTCTTACTTTTAAATCAAATTTCATATTGTTTCCCATAGCAGAAAAAAATCATAAAAGACACATCAAAATCAGCTCTTTCACCACTTTCGGATGAAGCAATATAAAATTCACGTGCAAATTCACCAATTCGAGTATAATAATTTTGTTCTGTAATGCTTAATCATTACATTTTTGAAAAGTACGAGCAATACTTAAATTACAGAAATTTCCCCATATTTTTTTAACGTTACTAACCCGCGGAAATAAAATTGAGTTCTAAGCTGCGTATTTTGAGCTTCCACGCAGTCGCGCATGGCTTAAAAAGAGATGATGGCATCCGAAAATATTCTTCTGTGACTACAATCTCGATCGTTGACGAGATGAAAACTCTAAAGTAGGAGTTTAAGCCACTACACAAGTAGCGTTAAAATTGGTAAAAAAATTCAAAAACTTGAAACCGTTCACTTGCATAAATCGTAAAATATTTAAAATTCGGATTTTAAATAATTTATAAAATTTGGATTCGGCGAATTTTAATTATTTTACGATTCATGCAAGTGAGTCGTTTAAAATTTTTAAATTTTTTACCAATTTCGATCGTGTGTTTCCACTGCTGCGATTTATAGTTTGTGCAGCCGTGCATCGGAAAGTCCACGAAAATTCCTGTGAACTAATTTTAATGCACTATTTACTTTTCGAAGAGTCAACGATGAAATTCTTTGAAAAGTATCAAGGATACATTTGATATAGCTTCTCTCCGAAAATTATCATTTTATCAAAGGAAATTTGGCAGCGCCCGATGGCTCATACGACGTTCCTCTTCAGCACAACAGATTGGCTTGTGAACTTACTGCTCATCGCAGATGATTTGGTGATTTTCTCAAGATCCATGCATCAAAGAGTTTCGTTACTTTCAGCTGTATTTGTGTTCAGCAGAGCGATATTTTTAAGTCTCCTCAAGAAGGCTACTTTATTGGATCTTGTAAACCTCGTTCTCACGTCTCACCCTTGAAGTAATACTATTACGTCGGCCATTTACACACTTCTGGACTTTTTTGACCGCAGATTTATTATATTTTGACCCGCGATATTCTAAAGTTATCAGGAGAAAATCGTTTTTTTGGGAGTCTTTCGTTTTGTTGAATAAATCGTTATTGCGCCAAGAGGACGATTCATCGAGGCGAAGTAAACTTTCATCGTTGATTAAGCAAAGTTAACTTTTTTCAGCGACAAGAAGGTTAACTTGTCATGATTATATTAGTCTAGTGTGGCGGAATCCTTCGATTTCATTTTAATCGCACGTTTTCTTGTCAATACAAGACAAATTTCCTTGCCGTAGCAGGTTCAGTTGTCGCATAGTTTCAACAATAAGGCTAACTTAATTATTTTTAAAGAACTAAATTTAGAAAATCTAACATATTTATACATGTAACTCTCATTTGAATTAATCTCTAATCAGTGATAACGGAAATAATTACCAAATTGTGCTTGTGAATGAAAGCCTTGGTAAGCATATTCAGTTTTGGCGCCCTCCTTCATAAAATCTATTCGTGCGGCAGTACAGCATGATAAACTGCTCGCGTTTGAGGTGAAGGCGCCTTCTGTTTTCTAAGTCGGAGTTCCACGAAATGAAGCCAGAAGGCATCATGCATGCACCAGTACGCCTTAATTGTTTCCGTCACTGATGTGAGAGCCCCCCTTCCCATCTGCCCTGGTAAAAATTCGCGATAGGAGCTGCGTTTCAAAATACCATAGGAATTCTTATAGCCGGCTAAAGAAGGCAATAGAAAATCATACAGCTGGCTGTAGAAAGCGAAGCAAATCATATAGCCGGGCTATACGAAGCGATAAAAAAGTATACAGCCGGGCTATAGTTCCTATCGCTGGGCTTTACACTTTATCGCTATCGGCTATAAAAGGCTATAAGAAATTGTGTAGAATTTGTGTGCTTTGGAAATCATTCAGTTTGATAAGGAACCACCATAATATTTACAAAACACACATTATATTTTCCTTTAATACATATTTTTTTCATCAATTAAAATGAGAATAATCCTTACAGGATGCGCAAACATTTCAAAATCATGAGTTGAAAAACGCTGACCCCGCGAGATTATACATTGGAGCCTAACACAGAGCGGTGCGGCGCGGCGTGCTGCCAGCGATAAGCGCGCACTAGCGCCTACAAACCTAACAGGGATACTTCACCCATTGCGCAATGCGTGAAGTATCCCTGTTAGGTTTGTAGGCGCTAATGCGATTTTCGCGCTGGCTGCCCGTCCGCCGCGCCGCAGCGTGCCACGGCGCTTGAAGCAACTATTTCACACCAGAGGTATTGCACAGTGTCATACGAAATTGGAGGCGCTCCATCATATTAGGAATGGCAGGCATCCTTCAAAATTACGGAACTTTCCGCGAAAATAAATCAAGATACTATGGCCCGAAAATAGAGCGGTAGTCTAAAAACTCACTAAGTCCTAGCATCCGTAATTAGTAACATTTAGCATACTTTTTATCGCCTGGCTGTTGCTTAATCGCCATCGGCTATAAAAGGCTATAAGAAATTGTGCAGCCGACTATAGAAGCTATTGAAAATCTAACAGCCGGCTTTAGGTCTATGGTATTTTGGAACACAGATTTTACTGTAAATTTTTACCAGGGTTAAAAGACGGTACTTAGGAAAATTTTAGAAACCTTCTACATGTGATATTGCCGATTCCTTTTGAATTTTATAAAAAGACATCAATTATACTAATTACTATGAATTGAACTTACGACAATGCAAGTATCTCTGGCAACTTCGCAATGGTCATAAACGAGCTTGGCGTATCAAAATCATCATAAGGATAGGTCAGTTTTAAGACGTAAATGTGAAACAATATAGAGCTATCCCGTTTATTTAGGTGGAAAAGGTGATTTTTTTTTCAGAAAATTTGAGACTTCAGGTGTGCCGTGGTCATCACCCCCCCCCCCCCCCTCCCCATCTACCACCATGACTTTCCTTTGCGTTGTATACTGGATTTGTAGCTCTCTGTTTTCTAATTAAAATGGACTTCAAAATTGATTGAATCCTGAGTAAAATTCTGTCAAGTCTGAAAATTTGCCGTATATTTTATTTTACATTTAAACTTATTTAGTTTATGTTAAAAATTTTTTCGAGAATCCCCCATAGCAAGACCATAAAATACAATTCTCTATTGGTGACAATATTCATCAAAGAGCCAACATGTTTTTCAACGTGTATTATACGGTTGTTCTCAATTCGCCTTCAACTGCGTCCGCAGCAATTGTTGTTTCAAGTAAGTTGTGCGTGCTGATTTTAGCTTATTACATACTCGACTTTCTGAAGGCGTTTTATGTGCAGAGCACCCTGTCGGAGAACAACAAAAGTGAGACTGAATGAGTCGCACAATGCTTACTTCGTTCGTTCTCTCACCGACAGATTGCGCTACTTGCACACATAAAACGCCTTCAGAGAGTCGAGTATGTAATATGCTAAAATCAGCACGCACAACATATTCGTAACAACAATTGCTGCAGACGCAGTTGAAGGCGAATTTTTCAGTGAGAAAAAAAAGAGTATGATAGGTATTGTCTGCACGTAACGAGAGGGTATGTATTCGATCGACATGAATCGAACGAAAAATAAAAACGTGAACCAATCAACAGCGATTCAACGGACAAATAAATGAAAAAGCGGATCAAAGTAAGTAGAAAACTTGTATTTACCACGAAAATTTCAAATTGCGATACCTCGAAATTGGGATCAGCCAACATTTTGATTTTTCGCAATATTAGGTCCACAAATATCACAGATTCATCCCTTGCAAACCGGTTTTGGATACGTTTCTGACGCTTTTTTTTTGCCTCAAGACCACGGTGTTGTTGGGTTTCGAGTGTATCGCGATTGCAATAGGCGGCGAACTTCATTCGTTTCAAATTTTCCAATTGATTCAAGATTAGATAGGAGCGCTGATCATTCATGCAACCAATATTTGTAAACAACTATCAAATTTTCCATTTCTCAATTTCCTGACAAATTCTTTATCCCCCCCCCCCCCCCCCCCCCCCCCC